AGGAATGACACTGAAGTTTATCTTACTACCAAAGTTTTGCTTGAGGAGGGCACAACTAGCAATTACTCAGGAGGGGGATTTATTTTGTGTGTTTGCTTCTGATGGAAAGTAATGGAGATAAGTACAAAAGGTTTATTGATCTGGCTCTATTGTGAAACCAAATAGAGTAGCAGGGGAAAAAAAAAACTCTTCCTTAACATTTAGAAGTCAGAGGATCTGCACAACTTCACGTTATAAGAGAATATTAGAAATGGAGACTTGTAGTTTGATTGGCAATGAAATGAAAGAGCTAATGCTTTAAAATGTTCTCCCCTTTTACTTGGAGGGGATTACCACATCGTATTTGACAGCTAATTATATTAGGGCAAATATACTAATAGTTATCTTGATTTGGTGCTAAGTGGCTCATTTCTTAGAGGTATTACCTGGTGAAATCATGTGTATTTGCTGAAAAGCCCTCCCTAGAAAAAGTTCTGTATAAGTTTCCAAACATAGAGAATCATGGAAAAAATGGATGTTGCTATGCTGAGAAGGTGGTAACAGGAGGTAGGTAACATGTTCTCGCATCTTCACCTCTGTTGTTAATGTATGCAGTGGCTCATCAGAGGTAGCTCATGTTAATTTATTCCTGCACACCTGTACAGGGCTGGAAGTCAGGTAATCAGACCAGCTAAAACCATACATTTCTGCTTTTTAGCTACAGCTACCCAGAGGCCTATAGAGGAACAAATTTAGTTCTGGAGACATCAGCAGGTTTTAATAAACCAAATACACACGTCTTCCTCCATAGGAATAGAGAAGTTTCCACATTTAGATGTGGACTGATTAAACTAGCAATCAAATGGAAGGTTCATATGTGACACCAATGGTTGCCTCATATTTATTTATAAATCACCCTCAGCAAAAATAATTTGGTCTTTAAATTTATTCATAGGGCTAAATCATCTTTCTACAACTTGAAGATCAAACATATATGCTTACCTTTCTGATAAAATTTAAGACAAACCTTGACAACTAGCAGCTACTACTCTGAGAAGAAAGGAACAAAGATGGTAAAACTCATGTAGGATGAAAAAGAGACAATGACTTCTTACTATACAGATCATCTAGTTGCTGGGTACAAAGTCTTCATTTTAGATGGGAATTTAGAACTGCCAATCATTAAGACAAATATGAATAGATTTTAACCTATGAGCAAATGATAAGGAATATGAGGAAAGAGAACAGAGGGTATTTGTTATTTTTCTTCCTGAATAAAAACCAAATTAACTTATAAGTAGGCTCCCCTTCAAAATGAGTGACCTATGCCACTCAGGTCCTGGGGATCAAAAATCAAGTCAGAGTATGAGAAAGAATGAAAGGTCAACTACACCCAGCTAATTCTGACTATCAGGCTCTCTTCAAGAAAATTTCCCATATGAAGACGGCAGGTTCCAGGCCAGTTAGAATTTCCTCTTCCTAGGAAAGATTTCATATGTATACTTCATAATGGAGGGGCAGCCTCCTGTTCCTTAACAGAACAGCAGCTCAGCAGCAGACAGATCAAGGGATAAACAAGAAGGAGGAAAGGGTCTTTAGAGACCTCAAAATCGAACACTACACTTTGTTATCAGGATATACTTGAAGACTTTAGCAGTCACCTTAAAGCAGCAGTCCCCAAACTTTTTGGTAACCAGAGACCAGTTTCATGGAAGACAATTTTTCCACAGACGTGAGTGGGGGGTATAGTTTTGGGATGATTCAATGATTCAGGCATGTTACATTTATCATTAGATTATCTTAAGGAGTGTGCAACCTAGATCCTTCCCGTGCATATTTCACAATAGGGTTCACACTCCTGTGAGAATCTCACGCCACCACTGATCTGACAGGAGGTGGAGCTCAGGCAGTCATGCTCGCCCGCCCACCACTCACCTCCTGCTGTGCAGCCTGGTTCCTTACAGGCCATGGACAAGTACTAGTCTGCAGCCGCGGGGTTCGGGACCCCTGCTTTAGAGCATCAGAGTTGTCTACAGAGAAAATTATTTACATTTCACTTCTATCACTCAGAATAAAAATTATTCTAATAGCTACCTAGTTACAAAGATGAATCACACTTCGTGTGCTTGCTCTCTGTCCGTGTGGAATGGTCCTCTTGGCTTCTGAATTTGTTAAACACACACTCATTTACAACTATATAGAAAAGAATAGATTTGACGCTGTTGCTTGGAATCTTCAGCCCTGACAAATCTTGCATGTGTCTCCTTCCTTCCTCTGTGTCACTTTACACAAACAGCATTCTTGCTTTTCAAAAATCTTCAACTTGATCTTATAAAATCTAGAAGGACCACCAACAAAGGACCTGGTAATCTTTGCTAATTAACTGCCAAACCTAAAACATAGTATTTAACATCTTTCTACTTCCCATCTTACTAACATGCCTATCTGGAGACCAAAAATGCAACTACCTCATGTATAACCACTTTGGAAGAAGCCCAGGCAGACCTGTGTAAAACTCCTCCAAGGTGTTCGAATCATGAAGAAGTCTGCTTTTATAAACAGAAGGAAGAGGGCAATTCTGTTAGCTTTATGACAGGAATCTTAGAAACCCTTAGCCCTGCACACTTCAGCCCCCACTCAAAATCCCCTCTAATGCTTTATTTGCACAAGGAAGACATTGTGGAGTCAAGGATGGATGAAACTGAGACTCTGGGGAGAGGAAAGAAATGGGTCTGAGGACAGCAGGATTAAAGACAAAGGAGGGTTTCTGTTTGAGAAGGTCTGTTGGCTCAAGAAAAAGGTAAGAAAACTTTTCTTAGCTTCACAGCAAATTAAAAAGGAAAAAATAGGGAGACAAAATTCCTGGGGTTCTTGTGACTAATAAAGTAAAAGTGAAGAGACAGGAGAAGGTAAGTCTAAGAGACAGATCACAAATGTAATCCAAGAGGCTTTGTGAATAACGAGATTAAATCACAGGTTGACATTCATTGACGAAATGACAATAAAAGGCTGAAACAGGAATACAATTATGTTTCACAGTTCACTCTGCTGAGATGCAGGAAGAGGCAGGCACCCCAATGGCATCACTGGTTATTTGGTGTAGCTAAACTCATAACATTATGTTAATTCAAGTCATAGACTCAAACAAGATGAAAACTTTTCTTCAGAAAATATAATGTCAAAATTAAAGTATCAGAACTTGTGTGTTTATAACCTAGGATCAAAAGAGTTGTGTATTGTTAAAAAGCAAAATTTCAAGTAAGAATTAAAAAAGTTTCTATTCTACAATTTTTGCAATCTGCTTTTCCATTTATCTTATGTGATAAAGCTACAAACTGAAAAAGATTGGACACACTGTGATTTCACCCAAATGAAATGTATCAACTGTCTTCTGAAGCTTGCTATCTTCTGCGTGACTGAACACCCTGGGAGCACATCTGTACTCTTCTTCCCACCTAGAATATCCTCATCATCCTAGATGTGGGTCTAAACTTATATATAGTTAGTCACGCACTAAAATCCTGATACCTACAATAAAAAATGAAGACTGAAATATTTTCCTGCTATCAATAAATGTTTTTCCTCAGACAAACCAATAAGCAGTACCTCAACAGTGCCTCCTTATGTGTTAAGACATACACATACGAGCACTTGCGTTTTCTAGGAATTTTACATAAATGAAGGCTTCAAACGTTGGGTGTGTAGCCTTTTGGTCTCACAGCTATTTATTCCAGTGCTATGACTTGCAATATTTTCAGCAAACCAACTAAAACTGTGATAGGACTTCATGCAATTAAGATTAAATTTTGGCTTGTCTTCAAACACTCCATTTCCATAAATATTTTATGCAGGTTTTCGAGTCTTTTATTTTTGTTTAAAAAAATGCAATGCATTAACCTCATTATTAGTAGTGTACTATCTCAAATTTAAAAGAATGAGTATTGCTCACAACTTGGGGGAGGTTGGGTACAGTATTTTATTATTCAAAATATAGCCATCTTATCTGATATATTCTGGGACTGTCAATGATACCTTGGAACTGAAATAACATGACTATAAACCACTTTTACAGAACAAAGTAAATGGGGGTGGGAAAATCATTAAAAAATAGTTTCTCCTCAAAGCATGTTTTGGGTTATATAAGAAAGTTACTTATTTTTCTTAAAGATTTTGCTTTTCAAAGATTGGCCCCCTTTTATTTCAGTAGAAAGGAAAAAAATACTCTTCAAACTTTTATTTAAAAAAGGATTGATCTCCAAATATGAAGACAAAACAGAATATTCCAGAGACAGGACACTACTTTTCAGTGGTATGTTTAATGTTATTTTGCCAAAGAACTCTACGCAATTGACAAGCACTAGAATTACTGCTTATTAGTGGTGGCTCTGTAGAAACTTTCTAGTTAATTTAATGTGTTTCTTCCATTGATTTCCACCATGATAATAAATTTTCTTTAAAATATTTTTAAAAGACAATGTAGAACCAAAAACCACACCTGATATAATGGTTGAAGAACTAAACTGGCCTGTGACCTGAGTCGGGCTGGTGGTATATTATGTAAATGATCTGCTCATAAGCTTATCTCAACAAATGCAGGATAACCGCACTATCCTGCCACTGACCACCTTGATACATTCCATTTATATTACATTTTCTTGAGGATTAATAAAGAACTTTGTAGGTTTAGGACCAGCTGCTTCTGTTTAAGCCCAACTGTTTCAGAGCTGCAACTACATAGCAAGAGTGTGATGTCATCTGAAGGCTGGACATAATACATTCGTGCTGGTCCTCAAAGTATATGCATGCCTCACCTTCTGTGAATAATCCCCATGGTAGACTATAGTTTAGAGATGTGCTCAAAGCCATTATGAAGTTAAGATAAAGAAACCCACACCACCATACCATTTTCCCACATCAACAATTACATCTGTCCCATTTCCTCCTGATATTTTCATGACTCTTAAAGAATTCAAGGACACACTAAATACTCATGTAAGGAATGATAACATTACTGGTTATACCTACGGAGATGCAGGCTGTCTCGATGTCCTGGACCTATGGTTCTTTCCATCCGTAAATTTCTGTTTCTATATTGGATAAATATGTGTGTATGAAGATAATATATTGATTTAATCAAAAAGCCACATGGCAAAGCAGAAATATAAATATATAAATATATATATAACAGAAGCTGCGGCTTCTAAGTGAAGGTTCACGGGGAAGCAGGGAACCGTGTACATAGTTAACTTATTCACACCCAGATGCATGAAAACACATACACACACATATACACAGAGCACAGAGAAAAATGGCATGCATTACGGGTAAGATGGCACATGATTCTGCATGCTTAATCATCACAAGCACCAACTGCAACAATCCTTCATGAGCATGGCAGCCTAGTTATCACGTGATCACTGTGGACAATCTTTACAGTGCATCAAAAACATCTAAGTTGGATTTCTTTTAGTGTGAAGTCCAACGTGACTTAAAACTGGCACCCTCCACCCCCAGCAGGAGCAGCCAATGGAGATTTACTGACCTGTCTCTGCTTCGGCGAGAGGGGAATGCAGCATTGCAACCAGCCACTGTGCAGACGTGCATCTCTTTCAAGTGAACATTCCTGTAGTGAAGTTTCACACTGTAGGAGCTTTTGAAACTCTTCTTGCACACATAACATATTTTGGGGTCTGGGCTAGAACACAGGTCACCTTCTGGGGAGAACTTTTGAGGGCTGCCATAATTCAGAGACGATGTAAAGCTCTCATGCAAGGCGGCCATGCTGGCACCCCCACCGTTGTATAGTCCATACTGGCTCATGTAAAACATGTCGTAAGTGGGGTCTGTAAATTCTTCCTTCACCTTGATGACGTCCTGGTGAGAGGGCTCACTGTGGTTCTCATCAGGCCTCTCACTATTCATCAGGACTTTTTCACTCACTTCGCTGTGAATGTGCTCATCCCCTTCCATGGATTCCTCGCCCAGTTTGGGCTCCGAAGACTCAGACTCGTTCTCATAGTCCCGCTCAGGCTCTTGGTCTTCAGAAGTCATGCTGTCGGCCCTCCTTATTTCAGTCCTTGAAATGCACCGGGTCCTGTTATGCTTAGAAAAGTCCTTCACAGACATGCCTGGGCTCATCTCCTCTTGGGAGTGACAATGATTGTCATGGCTCATGTCATTGACCACAGCTCCACCATCATTGGGGTCATCATCTTCATCATCAAACTCATCGGCGGTATCAATAATTTCCTTCTCAATCTTCACAGGCATGCTTGACTTCCTGGGCTTTTTCTTGGGTGCCAGGTCAGCACTGGGCTCATGGGTGGCCATCATCACTGCTGGCACTACTGGCTCAGAGGGTGGCGGGGGGTGCTGCTCTATGGTACCACTGGTTGGAATGATGGGACTGGTTGGGAGGGAGGTTGGAGGACTCACCATTTCCCCTGGAGTGAGTAAACTTCTATAAAATGGAGGAACTGGTTGTACAGTCTTTAGCCCAGAAAACACCAGCTGGCTAGGGAGAGGATTTTGCAAGACAGGGTCTAGAGGGGGAGTGGTAAAACCCATTGGGGGCCGGCCAGGGCTTGTGAGTGCCAGATTTGATTTTGTACTTGCTATGACAGGGGTGGCAGCTCCTGAGGTGGCCCGAATTAAATCTTTATCTCGGTTATTCCTTAGCATAGGCATGTGAAGGCGAGGATTGGGGTTTGCACTGTGGCGATTACGACTTCGGAGGGAGCTAAAGACCATGTTGCAACCTTCAATGGTGCATCGATGTTTGATCTTCAGGTGAACAGCATTGTAATGAATTTTGAGAGTACCTTTGTCATAGAACGTCTTCCCACATGCATTACAGAACACTCTTCCCTTCCTAGAGGCTGACCCCATCCTTCTCATCCGATGAATCCGGAATGAGCTTTTTGGGTGTTCAGTTTTAGTTAAATCACTGACTGGGGCAGAATTCTGAATGGGAGAGACACAGGCTGGCTCGGTTTTGGGCTCCACATTAGTAATGCTGGTCAGGGCATTTCTATTGGGTGTTTGATCATTCTTATAAGGTGTGGGAGAAACTTCAGATTCACTGCTCTCATTATATTCATTCTGAGTTGAAAGGCTGGGTTCCCGCAGCCTCAACCCTGGTTGCTCTAACAGTAGCCCATTTGGAGGCAACCCTAGCAGTGGTGCTGAGACAGGGTTTATGTACTGGAATGGAAGCAGAAATGCAAGGCTGTTTGGGATGTTTTCGAAGTGATGAATGCTGGAAGGATTGCTGTTCTCTAAGTGAGCAAGGAGGCTGGGACTCCTGGTGCGATTATTGCTCTCAATGAAAGTCCTTATATCTGAGTCTGTCTTTGAAGATGGTACAGCCACGGCCTGTCCTTCTTTCTCCTGAATTGCCATCAGCTCCACAATGGATTTGGTTTCTCCAAACCGCAGAAACTGCTGAAGGGTGATGATTTCCTCTTCTCGAGACATGATGGCCCAGCGGTCCAGCACCTTGCCAGCAGCATCCTAGAGGCCACATCAAAGAAACAACAAAGACAAACACAAAAACTTATTGATTGTGCATAATTATTCAATGCAACTGAAGGTGCTCTGTGTGCTCATAAAACACCGAGAGCAAGAGCAGAAAACAACATGCAAGCACTGTTAATAAAAGTCAACCCACAAAGCAAACTTTTCTGCCATGCAAATGTAGTAATTAGAGTCACAGTTAGAGAAACAGATTGAGTTTAATAATGTCAAAGCAAACAAAATGTAGACCACTGGGGCTCTGTGATCTAAAATGCCTTCAGTACTGCTTTTTTAACAACAATGATCTATATACTATGCAACTATTTAGCATATATTAGTATAAGATGTGAACTCCTGCTGTGAAATCCAATATAAATGAAAAAAATGGTACCTTAGTCCTTATTAAACTGTGATACTATAGGAAGGAATTAAGTACATTTTGTGAAATTTACTTCTTCAACATAAGCAGACATGACACTGGATTCAATGATGAAAATTCCTTTAAGTAGGAGTTATGTGAATTTCTGAATCAAAAAGATGAATAAAGTAGCATTACCCCTCATATCTTGTTACTAAACTGTATCTTTTTTTTTGGAATGGCTATATTTTAGTATCATTTAATAGCAGGCAATTTCATAAGGAAGAGTAAGAAAAACATTACTCATAAAAGGTAATTGTACTTTTCCTGAAAATTGGTTGTAATTCTATGATTCAAAGTTTGAGTTAGACTTAATGTATTTGACTTTTTACGATCTTGTTATAAATGACAGTCATAGATATCTAAAAAGTAAACATGTGATGGATTTAGATAGAATAAATGTGTAAAAAGTTGTCTCTCAGCATCCTCCTCTGATAGCAAAGGGAGTCCACAGAGAATACACATCAGTAATCACCAGACTATGTGTTGTTAAATATACATTAAAAAGCATTTCACACTTTCATTTTTGCTAGTAACTATGAGATTTGCCTGGGGGTAGGACTTTAAAATCCTGCAATGTAATGTCAGGCAATCCATTTCAGCATGGATTGACAGAAATCTATTCAAACACTTAAATAATGACTCCATCACTTTCTAGGGCACCATTTCTTCCCATTGGGACGGCACACTTTGCATCCCTCTGTGAATGACATTTGCCCCAACCCTGATCATGAATTTAAGAAAGCATAGTATCTTCTTAAAAACAAAATGACAAGATACTTATTAATTACAAATGGAAAATCATAACATTATCATGGAAAAACCTAACAGACCCTATCTTAAAAGGGTGATCGAATTTACCACCGTGAATGGAAATCACGCCATCATGTACCGCTCGTTAGGACACACTAAGAAGGGCACAACATCACTTTTGTGGCATTCTTCTAATGATATGGTTTGGCTGTGTCCCCACCCAAATCTCATCTTGAATTGTAGCTCCCATAATCCCCAAATGTTGTGGGAGGGAGCCGATGGAAGTTAGCTGAATCATGGGGGTAAGTCTTTCCCGTGCTGTTCTTATGACAGTGAATAAGTCTCATGAGATCTGATGGTTTTATAAAGGTTTTATAAAGTTCCCTGCACATACTCTTGCCTGCTGCCATGTAAGATGTGACTTTGCTCCTCCTTTGCCTTCCACCATGACTGTGGGGCCTACCTAGCCATGTGGAACTGTGAGTCCATTAAAACTCTTCCTTTAATGTACAAACACACTGTAAAAACTTCAAAACCTCAAGCCAATCATCAGAAATCATCAGGCAAACCAAAATTGAGGGACATTCTACAAAACAGTAGATAGTACTCTTCAAAGTGTAAAGTTCAGGAAAGATTTATTAAAAATAAAGAATGGTTCCAGATTAGAGGGGACTAATCAAATAAAGTTGTGTGATCCCAGACCAGAAAAAAGACATTAGTGGGAAAATTAGCAACAATTGAATAAAGTCTCTAGATTAGTTAGTAGTATTATACCCATCTGAATTTTCCAGTTTCAGTCACTGTGCTTTGATTATGTAGAATGTTACACTAGAGGAAGCATGATTAGAGGCATAAGGGATCTGTACTGCTTTTGCAAGGGAAAAGTCTCTCCTCAACCTGTGGACATAAAATTCTCTCTGAAACACTGCCCTATGGTCTGAATCATCACAGCTAGTTCGATTAAGTGGGTATTTGTCATTTACTTGAATTACTTTTTTTAAAAAGCCCTGATAGTTATGTGCCCTGCTTTGTAAGGCTCACTCCTAGCATCCTACCATTTTACATAAAGAATATGTGTAAGTACGTGCATGTGGGTGTCCATTCCTAAGAAAACTGTCAAACACATAAGGGTGCAGGTATATGGCAACCCCAGATGATCCTGAAGTCCTGCCATCAGCATTTTCAAAACCTCACTCATAGCAGTTAGTATCGTTCACATCCTACTTTTGGAACAGGGGTAACATGGAAGAATGTTGGTGGTATAGGTAAATAGAGAAATAATTTGTGATTTTTAAATAGATTATCTCATTTGACCCCTATCATAACTTCCAGAACTCAGAGAACAGATGAGAAATCAGGAGAGAAGAAAGCTAAGATAGGTTGTTAAGGTTGCCAAGATATTAATTTGAGGCCCAAGAGTTGAACACAAAAATTCTGACTCTAAGTTCAGAGTGTGTCAACAGTACTCAGTGGCTGTCATTCCATGATGCCATTTCCCAGGTAAGCCCATTGAGTTTGTGGTAGTAAAAAGCAGGACTTCTGAGGAAGTCTTTCTCTAGAATGTTATAATGTCCTCTTCTGTACCATCTTTCTTGTACCATCAAATCTACTCTCTTGAGTGTCCTTTTACAGAGCCTTTCACTACAGATTAATTTCTCAGGCTGAGCCCCAATCTGAGCAACGTACAGTCATATCTTCCCCAGGTTCTTCCAAGGTAGCCTGTACCTAAATCTACATGTCAATGAAGTACTTACACAACTGACAGCCTCTGGTATTAAAATGCACCTCAGAAACCATAGCAACTGATCAATCCCACCTGAGGCATCTCATTTCCATCACCCTTCTGTCTTCTTTCTCCCAACAGTACAGAGCAGTCCCATATGGTTTCTCCTGGCCCGCCACAATGCTTGCTACTATTTCTAAAACTACTGCCTTTCAGACTGTCTTCTAGCGCTCAGTTGTTGTCTCTGCTAAAATGGAGTCTGTTACATTAAACCACTTGCTTCCGGTGAAAGAGATCCAGGTAAGTATGATTTAGAACTCTGATAGTTCCTGAATCATAAAAGAGAATTTTCATTTACAGTGGTAATAGAAGCAGCAATTTATACTTACACAGATAAACAACAAAGCATATTTGCAAACAAATATACTTAGGAACGGGACATACAGCTCAATAACACCAAACTAGATTCCCCTTGATAGTGCCATAGGTGTCCTTTCCAAAGAAGTCATCATTGGCTGGGTGTTGTGGCTCATGCCTGTAATCCTGACATTGAGGAAGGCCAATGTGGGAAGATGGCTTAAGCCCTAGGCAACATGGCAAGACCCTGGCTCTACGAAAATTAAAAAACTAGCCAAGTGTGCTGGTCCGTGCCTATAGTCCTAGCTAGTTGGGAGTTTGAGGTGTAAGGATTCCTTGAACCCAGGAGGTTGAAGCTGCAGTGAACCATGATAGTGCCATTGCACTCCAGCCTGAGCAACAGAGCAAGAGTCTGTCTCAAAAAATAAAAAGTCATTATCAATTTGATCAAGAGTATCTAATTCAACACATTTATAAATGGAGAGACTGCAACAAGAAACAAATTGATCTTATACAACCCAACAAGTGTGCAAGCTGGATGCTAAGAATGGCTACCAGTTTTACTGTATCTTTAACCTGGTTGAAGGGAGTTAGAAAGCATTAAAGGGAAAACAGAAATGCCAAGGTTTTTTCTGAAGATCTTTGTGATAGAAATAAGTATGTTTTGGTACTGTGATTCTGAAACACTAGTTTAAGACTCTTCTGTGAAGGTAACGACCTCTATGCATGGTCTATACTGCTATTCAAAAATGGACCAGTGTCAGTTGGATGGCTTTTTTCTTTTTTTAACTCATCTGTAACAAAAGTAACCATTTGGAAAATTTAGGACAACTGGATACTGCTACAACAACTAAAGTCATGACACATTTTTTCAGACAATTTATGTTTATTATATTTAACTTAAGTATGAGAAAAACTAGTCCTCCTCACAAACAGTGTAAATGGTCAAACTTTACAAAAGTAAATTAGAGTTATAAAAAGAATTAGGTATTATCGTGGAGTAAACACTAATAAAACAAAAATTCAGTCTGTTAGGCCAGGATGAAGATCCCAACTACCAACCAACTCATGCTGGGCCACTGGTCTTCTGCATGTATAATATGTTAACATCAGAGTATATAACTGAGCTTGTGGCCCTCCATGCAGTTTTGTAGTTACTGAGTCAATTCTTTTAGGTTTTCCCATTTGTAACCAGAGTACAGTGACTTTTAACCCTTCAGGTTGAAAAATGTTACTGACAAAATGAGGATAAGATTTACCATGTTAAGTTAAATGCAAGGTATTATTATAAGTGTTGATTTCCTGTGAAAATAACTATACTGTTAATTAAAAGTTGAGTAACACCAAATAATATAGACTTATAAACCAGTTTTACAGGGTTGAGAAAAAGTATAAAAGACTTGAAATATTTACATCTACACATTTGAAATAAAAAGACTTCCTTTTGTTGCTTCATTGGAACTGGTGATTATCACTCGTAGAAATCTGGCACCCTGTTCCTGTATGGCTCTGCCAAGTGACTTTTTAAAACGTTTTGTTGTAGGATCAAATGCATGGTTTAAATGGTTTCATTTGAGTCCTTTTCCACATCAAAGCAGTTTAATGATTTGTAGTTTTAAAATCAAAGTAAAAAAAAAGGTTGATTGGTTTCTCTTATTGGGAAAGAGGGAAAGTAGGGGAGGAACGGATGTGAAGAGATGGAAGAGAAACCAAATAAGGGGCTTTGGGATAATCAGACTGTCGAGG